TCCTTTCCCCTACTCTGTCTTCGGTGATTTTGTATTGGATGTTAGAGATGTTAATAAACCTCACATGGAGACTGCTCGTTGACAGTCATTTCGAAGGGAGGTTGTTTCGAACGAGTCAAATGCAGTCCTAATGTCAAGAGACTCAATGATTACTGCTCTTATATATGGATTTCGAAGACTAGACTACTGATTCAACAGCTCCTCACTACTTCCACACGCGCTTGTTACTTCCATTTCACATGCAAGTTGTCACCATCACGCCTTAATATTCTGATATACAAGCAGTATTGTATTTTGTCATTGGTGAGATCCTTCTCAGCTTACTGATGACGACCATCATGATGATGATGATGATGTGAAATCACAAGCCAGCGCTTCTGAGAAACAGCCTTTATTAAGGAGACGTTATCTTAGGTGGTGCAGTGTCAGCTACTAGCCTCTATTCTACCATGGTGTAATACTTAGTCGTGAGGCTGATGATTGTGGTACACTGCACATTGTCGATAGACTTAATTCCTCTATTCTAGATTCCTAGGTTGAAGGCGTGTTGATAGCTATGTACTCAAGTGGTGAAGCCCCGAATTTAGAGCTCTGTGCGACACTGACATCAGGTAAGAGAGATAATGACGCCAGAAGTCAGTGGGTAAACACGCATAGAAGGCACCTTTCGAGCTGATAGACCGAGAAGTTATTACAAGCATTCACTGGCCTCTTCTGTGTCCTTCAAACGTAGTACATAAATTGTGTGGTTTAACACACTTCTTTCCAAGTGTCTATCAAGCTTGCAATACGTACGAGATAGTAGAGAAGATTTGTAGCTCACGTTGACAATGACAATTGTCTGACGTTCTCTGAGTTTCCATATTCGATAGTGAGCGTTTCATCCCTTCTGACTTAATGACACTTTGACCACCAACTCGATTACGTTGGAGAGTTGGTTTGCAAGAGTGACTGCTAAATTAGATTGATTGGAAAAGTACTTTGGATTTCGACGGTGTGAAGCACATGAGTACTGTTGATGATTCATTTCGATTTGGTTAGCTTGTATTTTATTGCACAGTGAGGAGATATCGTGTACATGGTGAAGGTTGAATGGTCTTTTTCAGCTACCAGATCTGCATTCTTCACAGTTCCAGCGATAGAAGAGGAGTTGAGGAGGAATGGCGACGTCGTCAATCCTTTCCCCTACTCTGTCTTCGGTGATTTTGTATTGGATGTTAGAGATGTTAATAAACCTCACATGGAGACTGCTCGTTGACAGTCATTTCGAAGGGAGGTTGTTTCGAACGAGTCAAATGCAGTCCTAATGTCAAGAGACTCAATGATTACTGCTCTTATATATGGATTTCGAAGACTAGACTACTGATTCAACAGCTCCTCACTACTTCCACACGCGCTTGTTACTTCCATTTCACATGCAAGTTGTCACCATCACGCCTTAATATTCTGATATACAAGCAGTATTGTATTTTGTCATTGGTGAGATCCTTCTCAGCTTACTGATGACGACCATCATGATCATGATGATGATGTGAAATCACAAGCCAGCGCTTCTGAGAAACAGCCTTTATTAAGGAGACGTTATCTTAGGTGGTGCAGTATCAGCTACTAGCCTCTATTCTACCATGGTGTAATACTTAGTCGTGAGGCTGATGATTGTGGTACACTGCACATTGTCGATAGACTTAATTCCTCTATTCTAGATTCCTAGGTTGAAGGCGTGTTGATAGCTATGTACTCAAGTGGTGAAGCCCCGAATTTAGAGCTCTGTGCGACACTGACATCAGGTAAGAGAGATAATGACGCCAGAAGTCAGTGGGTAAACACGCATAGAAGGCACCTTTCGAGCTGATAGACCGAGAAGTTATTACAAGCATTCACTGGCCTCTTCTGTGTCCTTCAAACGTAGTACATAAATTGTGTGGTTTAACACACTTCTTTCCAAGTGTCTATCAAGCTTGCAATACGTACGAGATAGTAGAGAAGATTTGTAGCTCACGTTGACAATGACAATTGTCTGACGTTCTCTGAGTTTCCATATTCGATAGTGAGCGTTTCATCCCTTCTGACTTAATGACACTTTGACCACCAACTCGATTACGTTGGAGAGTTGGTTTGCAAGAGTGACTGCTAAATTAGATTGATTGGAAAAGTACTTTGGATTTCGACGGTGTGAAGCACATGAGTACTGTTGATGATTCATTTCGATTTGGTTAGCTTGTATTTTATTGCACAGTGAGGAGATATCGTGTACATGGTGAAGGTTGAATGGTCTTTTTCAGCTACCAGATCTGCATTCTTCACAGTTCCAGCGATAGAAGAGGAGTTGAGGAGGAATGGCGACGTCGTCAATCCTTTCCCCTACTCTGTCTTCGGTGATTTTGTATTGGATGTTAGAGATGTTAATAAACCTCACATGGAGACTGCTCGTTGACAGTCATTTCGAAGGGAGGTTGTTTCGAACGAGTCAAATGCAGTCCTAATGTCAAGAGACTCAATGATTACTGCTCTTATATATGGATTTCGAAGACTAGACTACTGATTCAACAGCTCCTCACTACTTCCACACGCGCTTGTTACTTCCATTTCACATGCAAGTTGTCACCATCACGCCTTAATATTCTGATATACAAGCAGTATTGTATTTTGTCATTGGTGAGATCCTTCTCAGCTTACTGATGACGACCATCATGATGATGATGATGTGAAATCACAAGCCAGCGCTTCTGAGAAACAGCCTTTATTAAGGAGACGTAAAGTCGTTTGCAAATGAACTCCTAAAAACTTATACGATTGTCGTGAGTGAATTATTGCATGACGAAGTTTCTTAGAGCCCTAGTGGGAAGTAATGACCAGTAAGGTCAAAGCTGTCGGTAGTAGAAATGGAGTCCTCGTCGATGGTATTTCTTGGCTGTCGTGCTAAAATTACGAATGGGTAGAAGTTAGAATCCATGGGGTGACCTTAAAATTTGTTCTCAGTGGGTAATTGGTGTATGGGCTAGCGTTTGAGTAACGAGAAGGTCCTTAGTTCGCATCCCAGTGGACACCCACTGCCATTGAGTCCCAGACTAGGCAAACGAAACAGATGTCTAGTACACCCTGTTAACTGTTATACCGGTAATGAACTCGACTAGAACGCTAATACTCCTATTTGCCCGTTGTACCTTCCACCTCACTGAGTCACGCAAATATCAAAAGACAAAAGTTGACCTGGGAATGTAAGTTACAGTATATTTCAGGAACAACACATCATACTTATACATTTTATTATTTGCTACAATACAGTCCGCTCACAGCCGTGAGAATGGATTATTCTTATTGCCTGGCTGTTGCTATGCTCCTCGGTTGATGATCCGACAAATACCAAATAAGACAAAGATGATGAATTGATCACATATTAAATCAAAATATGTCTGTCTGAGTGCGAAACGATAGATTAACCTGATAACTCCATCACAAGATAACCACACGATTCGTGGGAAAGCGTAATATACCATTTCGTGAGAAAGGATGATATACTCTTTTATGCTGGATCCAATCTGTTAACTATTCATTCCCGTATAAATTAATCTAATTCAATGTGTCAGCATTCTCTATTTGGACCGTAGTGATTATACTTCCCTATATCTGAAACTAGTCCAGACTTCTTCAGGGAAATTAATCGAAATTAACTTCACAGAGTTAGGATTCAAATGGTGGATGGTGATTAGCAGTGGAATCCAGCCAGCATGCGCATTTCGTCCTATTTGGGACTCGTCCGCCAGCTGGACGCACCTGCATTCCGCAGTGAGTGACCATGTTCCCACCGAGACTGGAACCCAGCGTCCATAGTTTCAAACGCCAGAGCGTTATCCACTAGACCACTTGGGCTACGGAAGCCACCTGTTGTGCGACGGGTCATATCATTATTATATATATATTATTATTAAATAGTCAGTAGAACCAATGGATCTCGTCTTTCCAACTCACATCATTTATAGGTACAACGTTTTCTCGATCTTCATTCTGTATTTTATTTTTGTTATGTGCTGTTTTGTTTCTCTCTTCCTTGCAAACTCTACTTAAAACATTCTTGTTCGTTCTTTCACACTCTGTATATCTCGACCATTTTGCTATCGCTTACGCCAGTAAATATGCTAGTAGTATCTACTTTTCTAACACCTTCAAACACTTTAATTTTGGCTTTGCTACCGACATACCAATATGTTGTTGAGATAACTTTAATCTATGTAGAACTTTATTTATTGTTAATGTAAAAAACTGGATGCAATATTGTAGTAAAATGCTGAGAATTCCATTCTGTATCACAAGTACTGATTTGGAATAAAGCTTATGTTATGTTATTTAATTGAATTTTAGATTCCCCCGTATATGCAGATAACGAGTCCCAGATGGGACGAAGTGTGCATGCTGGATTTCACTGCTAGCCACAACCCTACCAATTAACTTCTAATTACATGACCAGACATCTTCGAAGCATCTGCACAAGGAGGAGCCGACATGTCAACCTGAGACTGAGCACTTCCGTCCAATCAACTGACGGGAAAATCTAAAATTGAATTGAATAAACACGACCCTATTGTTCAACAAATTTATTCCGAAGGTAATGGGGAAATGGATTGAGCATACACTGAAGGGACCATCGAAAGGCATCACACTCCAGCTAGACCATCGTCCGAGTAGTACCCAAATGAGAAACGACGAGTGGGGTTGTCTGAGGGTAACGTGGAGGAGGAGATCTGATAATATCAGCAATCGTGGAGCCAGCTAAACAGGATCGCAAAGAATACGGCAAAGTGGAGACGTGCTATTGAAGACCTATGTGTCCTACTCGGAAGCCGAGGGAACAATAATATTAATAATCACAGTAAAAAGCCAAGCTATTGATAAAAATCACCTTCCAAAAAGAATTTTATTTTTTGTTTTTCTGTTTCTGTTGTACAAAAAGCGAATTGATTTTACACAAATCCTTGAAAGTTGTGAGTAGACAAAATACTCTGAAGAGCAAAGAAGGCGAACAATATATGTACATATATACAAAATCAACTTATTTTTCTATGCATCCACATTGAAGGTACCATTACAACATATCTCAGAGTCTGTATTCAAACCATTAGTTATCAAAATCTTTTTATAAGTTGAAAATAAATGTCTAATTAAATAACTTGTTTCTCTCGGTTTTATACACTCACAAGACTTTCGACTAGCCTCATATCGATCAATATAAGCGGTTAGAGTATCCAATTGAACTAGTTTATTCAGTGTACAATGATTGTGTATTAAATAAAATAATAGAAAATCTATACAGAAATGTGTTAAACAAACTTCCCATAGTGAAGAGGGTTGACGATCTGCAATCAACTGGCTGAAGTATGTTAAACAATCACTAGTTATGCTTTTCATCCAATCATTTTTAAGACATCCATAGACGACCTCCTTATTTTCTTCACCATTATTCACCACCAACGCCGCCGCCTCCTCGTTCTCCTCCTGATAGCTAACCATACAGAAATGTGCAATCTGACCGATATTTAATAACATTAAACTGCATACTATACCCGGGCAGGGTGTAGTTTCTGATGATGACGAAAGAAGGCGTGAAAATGCTTCATACCAACGATTAAGAAACAGCGGTTCTTTTGGAAATAGCCGAAAACTAACTGTTAAACACATTGATGATAAACGCAGACATTCATTTGACAAATAATCATTATGATTTGAAGATGATGCATTTAGAAGAAGATTAATACCAACCCAACACCAGGAAAGTTGTTCAATTTCTTTACCAGGTCGTATTTTAGAAATTTCAACTGCACGATGTACCATTTTCATAGCATTTATCCATTGTTTTTTACCAATATTGAATATAATTGAAAAGAATACCTTTTCAACTGAACTTGAACGATCAATGAATCGTTTTATACACTTTTCTGTGTATATTACAACTTCTGATGATTTTAAATGGAAATGCGCCAGTATTAAAGCTTCTTTAACTTTGTCATAACTTAACAGTAATTCAATTGCTTCGTGAATACGATGTGCACAAACCAGTAGGGTAGCAGAGATGAGAGTATCAGCACTAGTGGTTTGCATATTTCTAATCTATCATTATTGCATTTTTGAGAAAAAAAACAACAAAAATCACGATTACACACAGAAAACAGGGTTATTCATCAAGCATTTTGTATATTCAAAGTAAAATATTTCGCAAATGAACACTATCGACTGTCAATAAACAGACAGTCATACAGATTATCGTAAGTTTCAGCTTAAAGGAGAGTTACAAAAAGATTTTTTAAAACGTTATGTAACTTAAGTTACCGCCCGACAGCTGCCACCTACCTCTTGACGTGGTGGTCACGCTTGCATATGACAATGAGCTACACTGGCTGGAACTAATGTTCTCGTAAATCCTTTCGTACCAGGAAGATTGCTAGGGTAGCGAATGAACTAAAAGCAGTTACCAGCATAGTGCAAGATTTTTTATGTGAACTTGCATTAGCCAGTCCCAGTGCGTTGATCGCTGACGAAATCTCAGAATGGATACAGAAGACTTGTCTGGCATTTACCTGCCAACTTAAATCATCTCTGGCGTAGACGTGATATCCAGCTGGCCGTCGACCAAAAGACGTGTATACTGCTCACCAATTCGTTCCCACCTACTCTTTTATAGCTGTGAGTGAGACGTGGCCATTGACCGTGAAAAACATGGAAAGCTTAGCTAGCTGTCTTTCATCATACGTGTCTGTGTTGTACCTACATCCCGTGTTAGATGGTATGGTATGATACGGTGAGTAATATCGTATTGAGGTTAGGCATCGTCGAGTTCTAGTTAAGGAGTGAGGGAAAGTCGAACGTCGAGTTTGTGAAGTTACATCGATTAAGATGTCTAGGGCATGTGTCGCGCATCCTAGCCTAGCCATCGACCGCCTTACTCGACGGGAAATCTTAGCTAGCTGACATAGGATCGGTGAGTTCTGAGAAAAGCATGTGGTGGTGAAACGAAAACACAACGTCACCAGACAACGAAATCCACAACAGTTGGTTTAGGCCAACCGGTCGGTCACGTAGGGGGTTGTAGATTGGGTGGCTGGCTGTCTGGTTGGGGTCTTCTGGATGGTAAGAACAAATGACCGCTGGAGATAATTGGTGATATGGTTCAAAATCATTCTCAGTGATGGTGCAGCAGATGCATTCACTCACTCTTTGTGATTTGTCATATCCAATAAAACTCTATTGTTCTTCCATTTTACTACTACTGTTTTTCCCTCACTCACACTTGTTTATTATCTCCCTACTTGGGTAATCAAGTCGCCAGCTAAAATGACTACTCCTGCATGTTTTACACTTTGCAGCAAACTAGACAGTTTTTGGTAGGAGTCATTCTTTAATTCATTCAAAATGCAGTCTGTCGGGTGGTAAGCAGAGGCTGGCTATGCTATGAAATGACACCGATGGGTAGCGTAGTCCTTTCTACGTCAAACAGACCGCACACATATGACTATCTACTGGGATCCAGTCAATAAGCGATTTTTCTGCCTCAACACTCAATGTTATCCCTAAGCCTACAAGTCCTCGCATATCCACAGTTCAAACAATCGGTAGGTCAGTATGCGTAACACATAACACTACTCATCTCATAACAAACAGCACCAGAGCCACATTCACTAGTCGCCTCTCTTTATCTTATACCATACAAAGTAATGAAACATCCTTAGCTTAAAAATACACTGACGAATACAACTTGAGAAATATCGAACTGAATTAACTAATTGAAGCCGTTAGGCGGCCTACGGATCCAATATCCAACATCGTCTTTACGGGCTAGAGAGACTGACTGGCTGGTTTCAACAAAGAACTTTGCACCTATGTGTAGCATTTCGAGTCGCCACACTTCACTTAGCACACAAAGCAAGAGAAGAAAGTAAAAAGAAACGCAAAATAGAGACAGTAAACAGAGATGAGGCAAAAAGAATAGCAATATCGAAGAACAATATAGTTTCATTGGGTATTATAAGTCACAAAGAGTGGATGCATCTGCGCCAGCCATTGAGAACAAGGATTTTGAGCCATATCACCGATTGTCTCCAGTCATTGGTTTTTACCGTCCACAAGACCCCAACCAGGAAAACTACACTTTCATACGTGGCTCAAAATAATTGTCGCGGATTTCATTAACTGATGTCATGTTTCCGTTTGACTACCACTGACTCTTTTCCAACCTGAACAATCCTATGTCAGCTAACATTGACCGTCAAGGAAGGCGATGGCTAGGGAGGCATGGGTAACACAAGTCCTAAACATCTCAGTCGATGTAACTTCAGTCTCGTCTATTGATTTTCCCTCCTTACCTAGCACTCGACCGATGACTAACCTCAATATTGCTCACCCTATTATACCACCTCACACGGGAGATAGAACTCAGGCACCTATGATCAAAGACCGCTAGCCAGCCTTTTCATCCCTTCCACCCCCAATGGCCAGGTCTCATAGCCATAAAGGAGGACGGAAAGAACATCCTTTGGTCGGTAGCCGGATAGAACGTCTACGCCAGAGACGGCGTAAACTGGTATACGCGAAACTAGCCTTCTGTATCCGTGCTGAGTTTCAGTCACTTGATTTCGTTTGAGGATCAGTTTGGTCCCACTGAAGTTTCCCTATGGAACTTCGTCATTTGCTTTGCTTGTAACTAGAGAGATAATGTCCCCTGTAATTGCTTAGTGTCTTGCTGAAATTTACACATTTCAAAAAAGTTAAACGATGAAAATCTGAAAAGTACAAATATATACTCCTCTATGAATGTTCTGATTGTATTTCTCGTTTAAATATGTAAATCACTCACCTTTTCACCTAGTAAATCCAATTCCACACTTCCAGAAGATTTTTCTGACGAAGACGACAGCTTACCACAAGAATCTGGATATGCCAAGGTACATCGAGTAAGCTCAACTGCATACAATAACCAAAAAGGCATGTAATTTTCTGAAGACATAATAGATGGCACCGTAAGCGCATGACCCATCCATAATAATATAATACAATATGCATCCAAATGTACAAGACTGTTGGGTTTTTGTTGACAATGAAATGACTTCAAATGAGCAGACGCCTCCATATTCAAATATTTTAAAAGACATGCTCGAGTCATACCAGCTTGTGGGAGTAGAAGTAACAAATCAATTTGTACTTGTTTGTCATTCACTTGTTCAGTTACAAAATTTGAAGCATTTAAAATTTGTGAAAGAAAAGATCCTAATTGAATGGGTGGAGAGTTATCTAAGTCTAATTCACAATTAGTATTCATAAAATTGAATAAATTAGGAAAAAGAGCAGGTCTTTTCATTTTATCACCAATGCCAGAAGAATTTACTTTCTGAGACGAATTACACTGTAGTGGAATAGACATTTCTTGATGAGAAGTGCCATTAGGTAGTATGTCATTCGATTTTATTACTTTCTTTTGTTCTGACTCTTTGTCATTTAATGGTTTAGAATCAGGAAGAGATTCTGTTTCTGTTGGAACAGGCTCATAACACAAAATGTCTCCGTTGGACGGTGCTTCTTGATCATTTACAAGTTTTTTAACAGTGGGTGGACGATATCGGCGAGTGTGTGGCGGTTGACTGAAGAGTTGTTCAGACGGTTGCCAACCGAACAAATGACATGATTCACCACCACTGAATGCAAGATCAGGCTCTTGACGACTCCATAGACAAGCGAAATGACGTAAACGAAGTGCACGGAAATTAGAGATTGAAAAATTATCTTTTTCAATATTTTCAGGATGAATTCTCCAAACATTAGCTGTACCGTCAAAGGAAGCGGATAATAAGAGGAATGGATCGTGTGGAGACCAATCTAGACATGTGATTCTGTTGTAATGTCCTTCTAAACGAGCTAAACTAGTAGACAGTTGAATAGGCTTAGAGCATTCGCCTTGATTAAGGTAGTTAATTAATTGAATTTTGAGATCTGTGACAGTGATAAAGGTTTCATTGGAACCTACAGCCAACCAGTAATGATCTCGTGACCAAGTTAAACAGTTAACACACTTGGAATGATTCACAGTACGACAAATAAAGACAAGTCGTCTAGACTCCTGCCCCACCACCTCCTCACAATTTAATGATTTTGAACGTAAGAAACCGTAAATGTCAACTTCACCTGAACGATAACCAACAGCTACTAGACAGTAAAAAGTATCAGCAATTAGATCGACCCCCGGTAGTTCAGATTTACTGACAAGACGGAATGATATCTCACTACGGATCAATGCTTTCCAGTCTTCATCTGTAGTATCCGGAAAAGGGGGGAATTTTGTGCTAACATCAATTGGTGGACGACTGCATCCAAAATGACAGTAAACTTTCCCCTTACTTATGCTGTAAACGTAGAAAGAAAACTTAGATAAGGCTTCGTTATCCTCGGTGGAATTCTCATCTTCTTGCGCAATTATATGCGTTGTTGAAGCGCTAGGATTATCAGATCTCGAATGATTTTCGCTAGTATTCTGTTCACTTTTATTTGCCTTTCTACGACATATATCAGAAAATAGTAGAGGCCCCCAGGCAACTCGATATACAGTTGAACCAAATGCATACAGCTGCGGTTTAGGCTTTTGCGATTTCATTTTTCGTAGCTTATTAATATCTACAATCTCCACACAACCTGACTCGGTGCCATAAGCAATAACATTCTCAAACTGCCGTAAAGGATGACAAGACAGTGTGGTAATAGAAGATGATTTGCATCCTAGAGGTGATATTGAAACGAACCTCTCTTTGTTTTGATTATCAGAAGAATTTCTTTCGCCAAACAATTCTGGTGCAGGAAACTTCCAAAATAAGATAGAACCGTCTGAAAGACCTGCAACTAAGGGACCATTGCTAAATTCAGACTGAGCTAAAGAGCAAACACCTGCAGACATCGTAGGTACTTTAAGGATCACTGACAGGTTAGATCCTTCCACCAACTGCCAAATAATCAAAAATCTATCTTGACTGAAAGTGATTACCAGTCCTGGTGAATTAAGAAGGTAGTGCATTGAGAAAATTAACATAGAATGTCCCTGACCGTCAAGCAACATAGAATTAGGCGTTCCTTTGCAATCCCAGTGAAATAATCCACCTCTTACACTTGAAAATAAAACATTCACTGACGAATCACTTCCTGGTGTGTAGCAAGCAGATATCCATGGAGCTCCATTTTGTTCACTTTTCTGGTGTTGTCGTCTAGCATTTCCAAATTGTTCACGTAAATGACCGGGAACTTGGTAAGATGAAGTGCATTCCGAAGTGGTGACATTCCATACCTATTTACAGAAATCAAAACAAATACTACGTTAGGAAAAGTGACACCACATTGCATATGAATATACTAATATATTACTGGTTGACAGACAGGTGTCAACACAGCACTTTGAACAGATGTACAGCAGTTCGAGTTGCCGCACTCCATGAAGCACACATAGCATGAGAAGAGAGTAAAGAAATATTAGAAACAAAAGTGTGAGTAGGAAGAGAAGAATGTTATGACGAAAGAACAATTGACTTTTATTGGATATTTTGATAGTGTTATTACAAGGTGAGATTATCTGAAAAATGTGATGTATTTGCGCCATACACTTCGAACTTACTTGTCAAGTCGATATATATGAAAAAATTAAGGGCAATTAAATCAAACAAAGTGACAAAACACATAGGGATTTAAGAATGATTAACACAACGTTTGGTAATCCAATCAAATAAGGACTACCAAGATAGGTTAAGAGTAATAATAAACTGTTTTCGAATGCACAGGGACGGGGGCTCAAGTTTATCAATAACCACAGCCTCAGAGTATTTCAATAAGCGCCCTTGACTATGTTTTATAGATGACCTTAAAGGATGAGTTAAAATCAATCCTATGGTTCATCTCGATTAGACGTTCAGCTATAGACGAAGTTGGTAGTCTGACACCTGCGCCTATTGGTTTTCCACAGTTCATTTGTTTTTCTAACCATTTCGGCATACGCTCTCTCACCCTCACATACAAAGCACGATTACTACTCCCTATGTATGTGTCCACACACACACACGCGAAAATTGGTAAATATCAGGATGTGACATGATCACTTGTGCACATTTGAGGTTTGCAGTGGAGCATATTTTTGGCTTTCTCGATAGTTACAAGTCGGGCTGCATAATAGGTTCTACGGACGACCGAATTCAACCTTTGTCTCAAAATCCTACTGTTTATTTTCCCGTTATATGGTGATTTGACGAAGACGTTGTTAGTCGAAGTGTACGGCGCGAATACATCACATTTTTCAGATAATCTCCGTCTTCTAGTGACAGTATGCAAGTCTACAAATGGGACTGTTTTAAATCTACTGGACATGACAAATCGCAGAGTTAGTGAATGTATCTGCGCGATCACTCAAAATGGTTTTACGACAGACCACCAATTATCTCCAGCGGTCATTTGTTCTTACCATCCAGAAGACCCCAACCAGACAGCCAGCCACCCAATCTACAACCCCCTACGTGACCGACCGGTTGGCCTAAACCAACTGTTGTGGATTTCGTTGTCTGGTGACGTTGTGTTTTCGTTTCACCACCACATGCTTTTCTCAGAACTCACCGATCCTATGTCAGCTAGCTAAGATTTCCCGTCGAGTAAGGCGGTCGATGGCTAGGCTAGGATGCGCGACACATGCCCTAGACATCTTAATCGATGTAACTTCACAAACTCGACGTTCGACTTTCCCTCACTCCTTAACTAGAACTCGACGATGCCTAACCTCAATACGATATTACTCACCGTATCATACCATACCATCTAACACGGGATGTAGGTACAACACAGACACGTATGATGAAAGACAGCTAGCTAAGCTTTCCATGTTTTTCACGGTCAATGGCCACGTCTCACTCACAGCTATAAAAGAGTAGGTGGGAACGAATTGGTGAGCAGTATACACGTCTTTTGGTCGACGGCCAGCTGGATATCACGTCTACTGTATCCATTCTGAGATTTCGTCAGCGATCAACGCACTGGGACTGCCTAATGCAACTTTCCAAATAAGTGAAGTGGTCGACACGCTCTACCACTTCACTCCTGCCTGTCTTTAAGCTTGGAGTCGATGGAGTGCGGCCCTGTAGTATGACAAGTGCGAATCACATGCCAAACATTCGATGACTGCAGCTCAAGGTGTTTTGAAGACTTCGTTTTTTTCAGTGTCTTCACCTAGGAAGGATCACTACATCATCCACATAGTAATGGTAACAAGTCAATCTGAGTCGCTGAAGTCAGTCAGGACTGAGTCCATTAGTACATCTATGATGAAATTAAACAGAAATGGGGGTTCCAGCACAGAAGTACAACGAGAAGTTTGTTGACACACTACATGTAGCTCAAAAAGTTAGATAAAAGAAACGAAGAAAAACTCAAGAGAATTATAATGTGCAGAAATGTACGGGAGAAAGAATATCATTAACATGGGGAAACATAAACGTTTAATGGATAAGGGACATTTGTTTAAATTTCTCTACAGGAATACAATTAACAGAAACGAAACTATTCAATTCCTGCAAAGTTTAAGAATACGATCACTAAAACGACAACACAACATACCTTAAAACACGAGTGAATAAGAAGTAGAAACTGTCAGCTAATAGAAGCAGGAATAATCATAGTACCGAAGAAAGTGAAATTCCCCCGGAAAATTAGAGGAAGAATCTAGTAATGATACTGACATTTTTTGTGCATCGACCACGCAAGTGGTCTGGGGTTCGATCCCCGGCTGATGCACTCTTTTGCCTCGCTAAGCCGGTAGTAGGACTGGTAAAGAGGAAAGGTTGGGTATGAGACTAGCAACCCCAACCTGTAAAAATAATCACCACTGCTACAGAAACATCGAGCCACGTAAAGGAATAAGAAACAGAAAATAAAAAATTTTGAGGTGGTCGTTAGCCGCTCTGTGTTGTAAGAAGTGTAAGCACATTTAAAGTGTGCAGTCGGAATAAACACTTAATTAGTTCGTTTTTTAGCTTCAAAGGGTAGACCAAATAAGAGAAATACAATGGATCTACCTAAGATAAAAGATCGAGAGCACTTCAACCAATTTCACCATAGTCGACGACTGAAAATTCCAAATTTATCTGCAGACATATGCACCCACCAGATTTATAAACAAATGTCGTTTAACCTTTAAAGTTATAATTGTTTCAAGTCAAAATCTGCATATCATATGTCCATTTACTAGTCAATAAAACGATTTACGAAAAAATGATGTAACGATTCTCTGTTTTCATTCACATTATCGTACATTATGTCTGATAACAATATAAACAATATCTCTGAACACAAGATGAAATACCTAGAAATGTCTGTCTAGTTAAGATGGGTAAGCATACCCCTAATAAATAGCATCATTTAAATATCAGGAAACATGGAATCAACCATTTATTAAACACTGTGCACTAATGATATATGTTGGACAAATTCACTTGTTCCACTTGCTGCTATTCATAAGACAACAAAGATAAAAGTCATCATACATAAAGTAAAAAAGTTAAGAAGGAATAATTAACAATTTGATGTCACTGAGCTATAATCGGACTGGGAAAGAAGTCTGAATTTCCTTAAGATTCTGATTGAAAGAGTCTGAATGGCATACTGTGCGCTGAGACAGTTGCTGACCAATTGATTAGTTACTATGCATTAGTTTTACACATACATGAGCATTGAATATAGGATCCAGATCCCGTTTACAGACTTTTAAATACTCGTGTCTAAAACTGATAACACAAAGTTGGACTACATAATTTACCTGTTCCTAAACGACCACAATGTCACTCCAAAAATGTAAGTAATAAACAACTTCTGAAGGAAGGTAGGACACATATAGAACAGTATTGATGACCACTATAAAATTACTTGGGTAATATTAAGACAGAAAAAACACGAAACAGGTCACACTATTCCACCATAGTATTCAAACGAGAATGGAGATTAAATTGGTTAGTTGTTAGTGCAACTGAAAATTATCAGTGATACTGAGTGCAAACTAGTTGTATTCCAAATTGCCACGCACTTAGACATCTGAACATGTTATCCATATCAGTAAAAAGTTTGAGCATTGTGGATTAGATCAAATAAAGTATAATTATATTTTAATAGTTTACACACAATGATATGTTTTGTTATTGGTAATATTTCGAGCAAAATTACTGCCCGTGTTCACACCACTGTTGGAATTGTTTAAAATATAATTATACTATATTTGATGTTATCCATACATCAAATACTTTTACACACTTAACTAATAATTTGAGTTTTCTAAACCTCATGTCAAGTGAACGCAATGATATATAATAAAAAGGATTGAAAAACATGATTTATTGACTGAACAAAAACACAAAGATGAGTGAGGATTGGAGAGGTTTCGTGTGCATTTCGGATTGTGAGGGCGATTGTTACTTCCCGGCTGCCCACACCGTAGAAGGCAAAACATAAAATAAAATCAGTTCCAGCCAGTTATTCGTGTTGCACACTTCATGAGATCCCATTCGTCAAGCTCGTCGAAAAACTTGGGCGATGGTTTTGCTTCGAATACCGATGACAAGTATGTATGCTGAGTGAAACCTGCCAGTGTTAGGTTTTGATATCAAATATTCATTGATTTATACAAAAACATAATCGCATAAGTCAATGAATATCTGATATTAAAACCTAACACTGGCAGGTTTCACTCAGCATACATACTTGTCATCGGTATTCGAAGCAAAACCATCGCCCAAGTTTTTCGACGAGCTTGACGAATGGGATCTCATGAAGTGTGCAACACGAGTAACTGGCTGGAACTTATTTCAAACAACAAAAGCTAAGTAATGGAGCTACTAAATCGCACATAACACATATCCCATAGATTGCCGCACTATAAAAGCTGCAGTGTACAACTATTTCTACACAGTTAACTGACACGCCTTTTGACAGTAAAACGGTCAATTTAGTGAAGTGAAACTACTACGAAGGAGAGAAAACATTAAACTGAAATTTAATTGAAGACTTTGTCGAACACTTACCTTAACCATCTGATCACGTCCACATGTAAGAAGCTCAGGATCTGACGATGACGCAGAAGCGCCTTGGCGCCATACAATATGACAGATATCCGCCTTATGAGCATAAATGCGGGTCAACTGTACGATGCTTGGAGTCGAAAAAATATCCGACGGTCCAAATGAATAAACACACACTATTCCCCTCTTGTAACCGACGGCAACTCGCGAAATGGAAGGAACTACTGTAGATTTCTCCCATGCACACATCACAACAGGATCGTCTTCAAATTTTTTAGATACATGGTAAGATTTGTTTGTATTACAGTCAACAACCCATACTAAAAGCAACCCTTTATCTGTACCCACAAAGTTGTACGACTCATTTGCAGAGTTGGAGAAACAGCTGACAGCCGTTGGGCTGATATTTCCCTGCACATTTTGCATATTAAACTCGGTCTCTAGCAACCATTCTTGACTGAAATACGTCCAGCGTCGAACCAAACCATCAAGACCACACGAAACTACACGTAAACAAGCACACTCATCAAAGGCTACTGCCGATATCTTGCCTTGATGGGGTACTATCTGACCCACGCAACTCCATGAATAGTTCGGTTGACACTCCACGTTCGTTTCTTGTTTAACGATGAAGATGTGTATATAAGAACGGGAAGTAAACGCAACAAAAGCACATCCTCCATCGTTATGAGTTTGCCATTTCGTGACAGCCACCACGTTTGACTGGAACCAGTCTGGTGAACCTGTCAAAATATATTTGGCGATTTCGCGATACTCCTGAATTACGTGAATTAGTGTCACACCGAACTTACCATTAGGATGTAACACACAAGGGCAACGGCCACAACCAACGAAGGGAAAAGAGGAAGGGGGTGAGGTAGAGATGCTTATTTGAGATAGGATAGCGGCACAAATAGCTTATGGAGAGGTTGAGCACTTGAAGGTCACTTATGCACGCTGTGATTGGTAGATTTTCCTCTGCGTAAACGTTGCGGCTAATACGTGCCTTACGTTACTGAAGCGGGCTTTGAAATAGCAATAATAAAAGCGGATAGACATTATATTTTCTAGCTTAAGGGACCAAGTTAACATGCTTATAAATTTCACAGATGTGAGAAGCATTAGATCCACTTACAAGGAGAATATTACTGAGTAACTTAATCGAAGAAGTATAAAGTTTGAAGATTTTATCTCTTTCGGTTAATTGTAACGGATGGATAGGAGTCACGTGTATAATATTTCCTTTTTATAGAAGAGAAAATGTGACAGGTGGTTTGGAAGTTACACAATTCCTGAAATATATCGTGGAATATATGGACGACTAATCTATAGAATTTCACCAACTCTGTGGTTGTTCCTTGCTTTGTTCACATATTCAGTGTGGCTAAGATTAGGAATTGTTCACCAGAGGTAAGATTAATTTACCTGATATGTATATATCCTCAGAATTTTCTCAATATGGCTGAATGCATTCGAAGGAATACAATCTCAATCTCTGCTTGAAAAGTTCATATCTAGTTTCTGCGAACGGATCTGGTGATGACGAAAACTGCAAAGACTGGTTCAACACCACTAACAACGGAAGCAAACGGATACAAATGTTGTGGATAGAGTGTTTGGTGGACTTAATGATGACTATGATGCAGCTACAAAAACTCTACAACCGTGATTTTTTCACTGGATTGCTATTAACTCTCTTTAGTGTAGATATGTACTCTTTCATTCTGAGTCATTTTTAACTTGATTGATTATTGTTTCCTTACAAATATATGCATTTATGTTGACTAACATTGTCTCTTTCACTTATCATTTTGACGACATTGCAGAGCTAACGAGAATATGGTAGGTAACGTATTAATACTTATGTGAAATGCGTCAGTCTTAAAATATTACTATTTCCTCAATGGATCATCAAGCCTTGCGTAAAGTGTTTCAGTTGCGTATAATATTGGTATTCGCGATTCTTAAGAAAGTAGCCGTCAAACATGTTTTCGCACTGTAATAACGAAACATAACCTAGCAAATATGGGTTCTATACGTACACGACTTGTAGTAGTAGTCTAGGCACTTCATGCGCACTATGCAGCGTATATCCTATTTACCACGAATAGTCTGCTATTCTTATGTTGCGTTTAACAATACTACCTCAAAGGAAATCATTGCGTTATAAACAGATAACTACATTACTCTTCTTGTGTTATCATTTCGTATCAATAGGCTCTTACATGATCACATTAACACTCAGACTCGTGCATTAGTTGATCACGTCACTAAATTTGATTGATTACTTTGTTATCATAAAATACTGTAACGCACTAGATAGGCTTTTGTTGTGCATATCGCCTGTTTAAGGTTTACTAGCGAAAGCGATAACAGTACCCCCATTGTGTATACATTCAACCAGATGTAAATATGGCATTTTACCAATATTACGTCTTCTACACTAGCATCAATTTGCAACTCGACAAACAGTAACTATTATTAGTGTACGAATAAGGTGCAAAATTTTTTTAAAAATATTTATTTCGACAAATACATTCATAATATCACAAATATTTCATCAATTACACAAATATTATTGTTTTTAGTCCCAATTAGAATGTCTAAATGTATTGCGTGATTGCGGAATTGAAGACCATAACCTGGAAATTAAAAATGACAAAATTCAGTCAGGAAATGATGGGCTGAATAAATAACTTGAAACACAGTACCTACCAGTTAAATGACTGTTTATTCACCGTTATCTGACGAAATTACCAACTCAGTTTCCTTTATTACTGTGAAATTTAGTAAACATAATGAAATCATAATTACCTAGATATTTAACTCTCTACTAATCATTTACGTAAAATACACTGAGCAATTGGAGTTATTTTGCATTTTATATCATAATTGACATTTTCCAACAAATTCTGACATTTCTTATGCACCTCAGCATGTCAATTCCATAAAAAGGGAGCATTTTGTAAACACATTGAAAAAGACAACTTTTTTCCCTTTTTACACGATTTTTCGTGAAAATGCGATTTTTAAAGTCCATTTCTGTCGAAAAAACTACTGAAAACATCGTAGAATAGCCCAAACACAGCGCCACGATAACGCCTTAAAACTGCAGAAATCAGCTGATTTGTGCCTCTATCCTATCCCTGGGAAGAGATAGGATAGCGGCACAAATAGCTTATGGAGAGGTTGAGCACTTGAAGGTCACTTATGCACGCTGTGATTGGTAGATTTTCCTCTGCGTAAACGTTGCGGCTAATACGTGCCTTACGTTACTGAAGCGGGCTTTGAAATAGCAATAATAAAAGCGGATAGACATTATATTTTCTAGCTTAAGGGACCAAGTTAACATGCTTATAAATTTCACAGATGTGAGAAGCATTAGATCCACTTACAAGGAGAATATTACTGAGTAACTTAATCGAAGAAGTATAAAGTTTGAAGATTTTATCTCTTTCGGTTAATTGTAACGGATGGATAGGAGTCACGTGTATAATATTTCCTTTTTATAGAAGAGAAAATGTGACAGGTGGTTTGGAAGTTACACAATTCCTGAAATATATCGTGGAATATATGGACGACTAATCTATAGAATTTCACCAACTCTGTGGTTGTTCCTTGCTTTGTTCACATATTCAGTGTGGCTAAGATTAGGAATTGTTCACCAGAGGTAAGATTAATTTACCTGATATGTATATATCCTCAGAATTTTCTCAATATGGCTGAATGCATTCGAAGGAATACAATCTCAATCTCTGCTTGAAAAGTTCATATCTAGTTTCTGCGAACGGATCTGGTGATGACGAAAACTGCAAAGACTGGTTCAACACCACTAACAACGGAAGCAAACGGATACAAATGTTGTGGATAGAGTGTTTGGTGGACTTAATGATGACTATGATGCAGCTACAAAAACTCTACAACCGTGATTTTTTCACTGGATTGCTATTAACTCTCTTTAGTGTAGATATGTACTCTTTCATTCTGAGTCATTTTTAACTTGATTGATTATTGTTTCCTTACAAATATATGCATTTATGTTGACTAACATTGTCTCTTTCACTTATCATTTTGACGACATTGCAGAGCTAACGAGAATATGGTAGGTAACGTATTAATACTTATGTGAAATGCGTCAGTCTTAAAATATTACTATTTCCTCAATGGATCATCAAGCCTTGCGTAAAGTGTTTCAGTTGCGTATAATATTGGTATTCGCGATTCTTAAGAAAGTAGCCGTCAAACATGTTTTCGCACTGTAATAACGAAACATAACCTAGCAAATATGGGTTCTATACGTACACGACTTGTAGTAGTAGTCTAGGCACTTCATGCGCACTATGCAGCGTATATCCTATTTACCACGAATAGTCTGCTATTCTTATGTTGCGTTTAACAATACTACCTCAAAGGAAATCATTGCGTTATAAACAGATAACTACATTACTCTTCTTGTGTTATCATTTCGTATCAATAGGCTCTTACATGATCACATTAACACTCAGACTCGTGCATTAGTTGATCACGTCACTAAATTTGATTGATTACTTTGTTATCATAAAATACTGTAACGCACTAGATAGGCTTTTGTTGTGCATATCGCCTGTTTAAGGTTTACTAGCGAAAGCGATAACAGTACCCCCATTGTGTATACATTCAACCAGATGTAAATATGGCATTTTACCAATATTACGTCTTCTACACTAGCATCAATTTGCAACTCGACAAACAGTAACTATTATTAGTGTACGAATAAGGTGCAAAATTTTTTTAAAAATATTTATTTCGACAAATACATTCATAATATCACAAATATTTCATCAATTACACAAATATTATTGTTTTTAGTCCCAATTAGAATGTCTAAATGTATTGCGTGATTGCGGAATTGAAGACCATAACCTGGAAATTAAAAATGACAAAATTCAGTCAGGAAATGATGGGCTGAATAAATAACTTGAAACACAGTACCTACCAGTTAAATGACTGTTTATTCACCGTTATCTGACGAAATTACCAACTCAGTTTCCTTTATTACTGTGAAATTTAGTAAACATAATGAAATCATAATTACCTAGATATTTAACTCTCTACTAATCATTTACGTAAAATACACTGAGCAATTGGAGTTATTTTGCATTTTATATCATAATTGACATTTTCCAACAAATTCTGACATTTCTTATGCACCTCAGCATGTCAATTCCATAAAAAGGGAGCATTTTGTAAACACATTGAAAAAAGACAACTTTTTTCCCTTTTTACACGATTTTTCGTGAAAATGCGATTTTTAAAGTCCATTTCTGTCGAAAAAACTACTGAAAACATCGTAGAATAGCCCAAACACAGCGCCACGATAACGCCTTAAAACTGCAGAAATCAGCTGATTTGTGCCTCTATCCTATCCCTGCTTATTTAAACCAAACGAGGCTTGAATTAGCCGGGTACAAAGCTAATTATCATCGTTTGTAACAAGTCTGGACAAACGATCTTCCTCCTGCTCCAGTAAGGCCACGTCAGCCTTTCTTTCTGAAAAAGAAGAAGAAAACCTATTTAGTGACATTATGGTGGTTTTTATTCCAGTACAAGGAGCTAATGTAACGCAACCTTTACAGTCCCGCAACTTCCAATATCCGAGATACTCGAGCTTACTCAGATTTCAGGTTTACTGTATGAGTAGAGAAGGCTTGGAGCCTATGTTAATCCTTTTCTAGTAAATTTCTGTGGCTGTCCAAACCCTCCTTGAGTGAATCCGTTGAGGTTGCAGAAACCACCTTTTCTGGGAGTCGGTTCCAAGGGTTTATGATTTGGTGTG